TATTGAATTAATCACTTTCTGCTCTGAAAATAAATTCCACGTGATCAGAAGTGGACCATAACACACTTTTTTTCCCATCTCCACATCTTCACATACGCTTATAACATTGTCATGCACATTACAGGAGTAAATGTTGTAGGTTTGTTGCCATGAATGATTCCTTTGAGTGCTTCATTTTATTTTATTCTCTACACTGTTCGCCCTGCTTTAATATGTGTTTATCCACTTGTAGGACTCGCTCATCAGCAATTTGTTACGTCTTATACAGACTATGCGACCTCCAGCCAAGCCATCGTCTTCCAGCAAAGGTGAGAAACACGTAACTTTTTCTATTCATGGAAGTGATTGAGGTTTCATTGTATCGTAGAATTTCAGAGCATGTTAAGTGATCCAGTCCGTCCAAGCTGCACCACCATTCTTACTGAAGCCTGACTGGTAAGAAAAACACCCTTCCAAAATTCAGCACATTTGATGAAAAAAAAGGCAGTGGGCAGTCAGTTTCTCCAGCTGGTTGCTGGTGGCCCTTCCCAGTGTTGAGCGTTTAAGTTTTTAGAGGAATTGTACTGGTCTACAATAAAATGCCCATAGCACTTGCACCGATATGTATTAAAAATGTCTCCAGCATAACCCAGTTAGTACCTTTGGAAGACAGAGTTGTATTAACAGTTTTAAAGATTCATTCATCAGTGAGGGACCTGTACCTCATTGTACTGTTTTATGCAGCTTAACATGCTTTGTACAGCAACAGTTGAAGTTTGGAAAGATGAAATCTGTAGCTGGGGTTAGGTGTTGTTGCAGCTCACGTGGCTTTGGATGTTCAGTGTTTGTTTACTGTTAAATGAATGAGGTTTCTGAAAGAGCTGTCATGATATTGGTTCCATCTTCATCTTATTTATCTACCGATATGAATTGTCATTGCTTTCTCTTAATATTTTTGTTCAGCTGAAACAGTCAAACCAAAATCAGAAAAGGAGAAAATGAAGGAGCTGTTCCCTGCTCTCTGCCTGCCTGATAACCTGCCTACAAAGGTATGTTCTGCATTTACTTCACTTCCAGTTTATTTAATAAGAAATATGATTGTTCTTATAGCTAACCTTTCTAGTTCTGTCATTTGACTCTCAGTTGAGGATAACTTTGCTCGCTTTCATTCTTGCGTTGATGGTAGAACAAAAAAAAGGATGTGAACAAGTCATAATCTGAAGGCAAAATGAACTTTTCAGGTGGGCCTTTTATTGGACCCCAAGTTTGATTTGGGATATTCAGTATTGTTGTCTCTACCCCTTGCATGGTACTGATACCACCTTGCAGTAACCACTCAATGTGGATGCCTGTATATCTTTTAGTTCATTCATGGGTTGTAGGTGTCACTGTCTGGCATTGCACTTTTTCCCCATCCCTAGTTGCCCTTGAGAAGGTGGTATTGAGCTGGCACCTTGAACTGTTGCTGTCCATTTACTGTTGGTAAACCCGCAATCCTATTAGGGAGGGGGTTCCATGATTTTGACCCAGCAGCACTGAAAGAACAGCAGTATATTTCATTGTCAGGATGGTGAGCAACTTGGAAAGAAACCTGCAGGTGGTGCCGTTTCCATGTATCTGCTGCTCTGGTCTTTCTAGATTGCAGTGGTCATGTTGTTTGGAAGGTGCTGTCTAAGGAGTCTCGCTGAGTTTCTGCAGTGCATTTTGTAGGTGCTACTGAGTGTCAGCGGTGGAGGGAGTGAGCGTTTGTGAATCTGGTGCCAACCCAGTAGGCTGCTTTGTCCTGGATGGTGTCAAGCTTTTTGAGTACTGTTGGTGCTGAGGAGCATTATATCACACTTGATGGTGGACAGAATTTGAGAGTTAGGAGGCAAATTACTGACTGATGGATTCTGAGTCTTTGGCCCATTCTTGTTGCCACAATACTTATATGGCTAGTCCAGTTGAGTTTCCAGTCAATTGTAATCCCCTGGACATTGAATATTAAGGGGTGATGATTAGATTTTCTCCTGGAAATGATCATTGTCTGGCACTTGTGTGGCATGAATGTTACTTCCCATTTGTTTGCCTAAACTTCAATATTGTCTAGATATCGCTGCATTTGGACATAGACTGTTTAAGTATCTGAGGAATCACAAATGGCAGTGAAATTTGTGCAATAATCAGCAAATATCCTCACTTCTGGACTTTAAGATGGAAGGAAGTCATTACTGAAGTTGATTAGACTGATGACATTACCTGAGAAACTCTTGCAGTGTTTTCTTGGTACTAATGCCCCTGAATGCCCACTACAAATATCTCAAAATATTTGCTACTTCTCTCTGTTTTTATTTTCAAATGAAATAAGTTTTCATTATCTTAAGTTAGACTCATTCAGTTTTTCTGGAGAGACAGTGGAACTGTCTTGCTGGATGCATGAAGCTTTTGAGTACCATATGTAGCCTTTATGATCATCAGAGTTATCTATTACTTAACCTGTGACAATGCACTAATAACATAGAGGCAGCCAACCATTCTGTCATCAATTTGAACAGACTTGATTCCATGTTGAAATCTATCATTTTGCATGAAATCATTTGAGTTATCTTGTGAATACACTCCCATAGTGCCTGTTACTACTACTAGTTTTTATTCTGTTGTCCTGATTGTCCCAACCTGCTGAATATTTTGCAGAGTCTTTTGGATGAAGATGATATGAAAGTAGCTGCAGATGCATTGAAGGAGCTTGAAGCCTTGATGCCTTCAAAGGCGGATCACAAAAAGAGCAGCAAACGCAGGTATTCAATTGGCAGTTTTCTTCCTCGAATGTGTTAGTAACTCTCCTTTAGTAGATGAGTGGGAAAAAACCACCACCTGATTTGGTAACGAGCCAAATTTTATGTGCTGTCTCACTACCTATAATCAATAAGTATTGTGTTGAAAGAGGTGTGATATTTTGTGCTCTGTAGTGTGTATTCACATTAAATAATTCAGCAAGTTTTCATGTTAAAGTCATGTCAGGTTAGTTCCTCAAGTTTAAGAGGAAGTTATTTATTCTTGCAGGCTTACCCTGAATTAATGTTACACACTCGGTCATGTATGTGCACATATACAAAGATAAGACGCAGATAAAAATGTACAGATTATGGTTAATTCAGTCTTTGATTTACAGTTTGCATTTCCATATGGCAGGCCTGTGGATTCTGGAATGGATTTGATGTTTGAAAGTTTGAGTGAGGGTCTTGTAAACAGAATGGGTGGCAACAGATATTGTTGTAATCAAACATCAGGAGGTTGGTGAACTTTGAAACTGGACCAGTTTCAATATTTTGGCCTCTTGACATGCAGCTCACTCATGAATGTGATTCTATGGTGACTGATGGATTTTCTGGGTCCTGGGGTAATCACATGGCCACTGGGTTATCACTTCTGAGGCCCAGTCAGTCTGCTTTGAATGGGGTTACCATCGGGAAGTTGACAATGGCGTTTGAGTTTAAATCTTCCCATTTGTCCAGATGAGACATGTAGACAGGCCACCCGGAAACTACATAGCCTTTAATTGTTGGCCCATCTTTAAACAGTGAGATGTGACTTTCACAGATGGCTGTGAATTATCCTCACCTACGTTCATATTCTGTTAAATTGACTAATTAGGGGCGTAGAAGCTTCGTAGTACTGTCACTGGGCTAGTAATCCAAAAGTCCAGGCTAATGTTCTGAGGATGGTTTAAAATCCCACCTAGACAAATGATTGAATTTAACTTCAGTGAATAAATCTGGAATATAAAACTAGTTTCATTAATTATGACCATGGCAACCATGTTGTAAAAGCTCACCTACTTCAGTAAACGCCCTTCAGGTAAGGCAATCAGCCATCCTTGCCTTGTCAGGCTTACAGGACTCCAGAGCAATGTGGTTGAGTCTTCTGCCCTTTGCAATGGCCTAGCAAGCCACTCAGTTTAAGGACAATGGCGGATGAGCAACAAATGTTAGTATGGCCAGTGATGGGCACATCTCATGAAAGAATAGAGAAGGCATTTGCCAGAGGTGTGACATGCAATCTAAATGTCAAATATTGCATGATTGGTAGCCAATTTTTAGAAGTATTGACTGAAAGTTCATAATGTGACATGCATTGTGCATATACAGACCAGAAAGTCCTAGGTTTGGCTCCTAGTGAGCTGCCTGCTCTCATCTGGGCAGCATTATAACATTGATCTTTGAATCATCCAGGATTCCCACTTTGGATTCCTGTCAGTGACTACAACTGAAAAGTGTTCCTTAAGTGAAAGACAGACTGGTCCTTAATGTTAGAATAACAACAGAACCACACCTCAATCAAGTCAACTGCATAATATCTATAAAGCTGGATGTCATCCAGTGAGAACAATGTAAGTGTAGGTTTAATTTGTGACTCTGGGAGTTATAATTGTATTGAATTTTATATTTTTATTTCAGCCCTAAGGTTGGAATTCAGGTCTCAGGCAGCTTCTGATTCCCAGTAAGGTCAGGGAAAGCTGGCTGAAAAGGGTCGTGTTATCCAAGTGGGTCTCTTCTGCCTGTAAATGCTGGGTTTTTTTCTGGCAATTCAGGAGCTGCATTTAAAAAAATCCTCTGACCCTTTCTTGTCTTCATCTTCCCAACAAGATTCATCTCTTTATTAACACAGTATTTTGTTGAGGGAGTTCTGAAATCTAAATACGAGAATAGGTTAAAAGATGTCACAAAATCTAGAACCCCAGTCTGAGCCAGTGAATTTTTGCTATGTAAATGAGGCAGGATAGAATTGGAGAGTCAAAAACAAAGTTGCTGGAAAAGCTCAGCAGGTCTGGCAGCATCTGTGGAGGTAAAAAACAGAGTTAACATTTTGGGTCAGGTGACCCTTCTTCAGAACTTCCTCTGTTCTGAGAAGCGTCACCGTACCCAAAATGTTAACTCCATTTTTTCCTTCACAGATGCAGCCAGACCTGCTGAGCTTTTCCAGCAACTTTGTTTTTGTTCCTGATTTACAGCATCCGCAGTTCTCTCGGTTTTTATTTAGAATTGGAGAGTATTCTTTACAAGTAATATCTCAATCTCAACTTCAAACATGCTGTCTTAATGCAACATAATTTTATTTTAAATTTCAAACATTTGTTTAATATCTGGTAGAATTGGAAAATATCAAGCTTTTTTCAGAGTTATTATTTTACTTGGATGATAACCTTTTATAAACTGTTATTAAATTGTGCAGTTAGTCATAATTTCACAAAGGCTCACTGACTCAATTATTTGAAAAAGCTGCTTAAACTCACGAATTAATTTATTCTTGTAGTTAGTTTGAAAACAAAAACTACCATGTAATGTTTTTGATATAATGTAAAAAATGGTGTCGTTAATGGTTCTGGCTTTGAATAGAATTGGACTGTATCAGGTTTCTAACCGAACACATTAATGGACCAAGTCTAGTATTGAACTGATTGACATTACATATTTTAAAGGAGGACTTTCTTTTGAATATGTTTTTTATCTGCTGTTTTGAGGGGAGAGATTTTATAAGAGAAAAATGTTCTGTGAAGTTGTAGTACCATGCTGACACCCTCCAAAATGACCAGAAGAGGGCATATTTAAGAGATCGTTTTGATTTTCTGCTTCAAAAGCTTATGACAGATTCTGTATCTTTGAATTGATAATATGTGAGCCTGAATTATGTAACTAACTTTATCACAAGTTGTTGAAAATTCAATGGTTCAAAAGGATTGTACCAGAAAGATTCCTGTGTTTTCATCTTTTTACCAAATTTGTGAATGTATATCAAGGAACTTGGTTGCCATTTTGATAAATCTTTCCTCGTGTGGGAACTGAAGCCAACTCTCATTTGGAGTAGGAGCATCACATAGGGAGTAACAGATTTAATGCTGCTGTTACTTCACAACAAATAGTGTTTCATGAAAAATAAGTAAAGTTGGATGACTTTATAATCTGATAGCAATTTCAATGTTAACTGAAACTTATACTGTGTGCTGTTATAGAGCCATAGAATAATACAGCACGGAAACAGACCCTTCGGTCTAACCAGTCCATGCCGAACATAATTCCAAACTAAACTAATCCCACCTGCTTGCTCCCTGCCCATTTCCCTCTAAATCTTTCTTATTCATGTACTTATCCAAATGTCTTTTAAACGTTGTACTTGTACCTGTATCCACCACTTCCTCAGGAAGTTCATCCAACACATAAACCACCCTCTGTGTAAAAAAATTTGCCTCATGTCTTTTTTCTAAATCTCTCTCCTCTCACTTTAAAAATGTGCCCTTCATTGTTAGTGTTTTGATTACTCTCTTTCTCCTTTCTGCCCTTTGGAAGTAATAAGACCTTGCATATTAATGCAAATTTTACCCTGCCTGGAGCTCTTTACTGTATAGAGAATGTTGTATTAAAGGAAGAGTTATGTTTATACAATGCAAACCAAGCCTCAAGTAATCATTGCAAAGTGATATACATACAATTAATTACTTTGAATGTAGTCACTGTTTTTAGGTGAACCCAGGAACCATTCCTTGCTTAATAACATCTTATTAAATTGGTCGTGCCTCATGAATGCTGAATTAAAATAAACCATCTGAACTTGTCACAAAATATTCTTAATTAAATCCTCTGCCCTTAGTATTTGTCCAGATGAAAGTCCATCTCTTGAATCTTTGTTTCCACTTTCCTGAAATTGAAATTGGTAACTGAGTTATATTTATTTAAATTATAAATAAGTTGTTGCTTGTTTCCCATAAATGTCATTCTTCTGACCATATACTCTGATCATACAACTTTAATGCAAGTGTAACATTTTCGCCAGAAGGACATTGGCTTGTGTCACCTGTTCTTTTCAAACATTCCATCAATTTCTTTACTATAATCTGTAATTCCATATCTCTATACCTTTCCTAACAGAAATTCAACCAATTCTTCATGAAAGGCTGCCTCTGGTCAGTCTCTTGCTTTAAAAAAGACTGGAATCTAAATGCCCTACTTCCTTTGGGCGTCTTCAACTTTAGCTGAGTCTTTGAATCTTGTGCTTGACAGGAAAATTATGTTGGATTGAAATTCTTCATATTGTGAAAATCTTAAAGACTTATCAATTTCTCTCATTTCCCTTCTGGATTCTTCCAAAGAGTAAAGTTGTAAGTTAAACAGCCTTGCATCATAACTCAGCTGTCAAAATTCAGAAGTTATTATTAATATCTTATTCTTAACTCCATGGTTCTGGATTATGCCTTGCCTATAATCTGAACACATCCTGATCAACTGAAGCAAAAGTGAATCTTCAAATACTCAACACTTGGAGAGAGAAACCAAATTAATGTTTCAGGTTAATGATCTTTCACCAGCATTCTCCAAGTTATCTCACCAGGGTCCGAAACCATTTTGATATTATTTCCTTCTACTTGTGCTTCACCTTTAGCTCTATGTCCTCATTATATTAATCACCTGTGAATAAACCCAGGTCTCTTTGCTTTTCTGTTGGTCTTGAACCTGCTGTCATTTTAGTCTGTTGTGCAGCACTTTATCAGATGCCTTTTGAAAGTCCATGTATGCCTTATCAATGCTCTGTTACGTCATAAAAATCCTGCAGCAAATTAGTAATACTTGATTTACCCTTAACTTTTCCATGCTGGTTTTCCTAAATAACCCACATTTTTCAAATTGGCAATTAATTTTGTCCTGCATTATCATTTATAAAAGCTTTTATATCACTGAGATTAAGCTGACTGGTCTGTAGTTGCTGGTAGTGGACACAAATAAGCTGCAATCTTTTAGGGTGCTGGGAGAGTGTTCATTTTTTTTTTGAGACATATCATCTGTATCTCTTGTGACATTGTGTCGTGTCAACATTATGATGTTTTATTTGATCCATGGCGTTTATAAAAGCAAATTTTTTTTTTTTGTAAAGCTCTAACGAAAAGGGGAAGAGAAAGAGAAGGAGTCGTAGTCGCAGCAGAGACAGAGACCGGAAACGGCATCGCAGGTCAAGGTCCAGATCACACTCCAGAGATCGATACAAAAGTAAATCCAGCAGGCGATCCAGAAGCAGGAGTCTGAGCCCCAGCAGGGACCATAAGGATCGAGGCAGAGCAAATGAGAAGAATTGTGAGAAGAGAAAAGATAGACACATAGACAGGCCCCCACCAGAAGAACCATCTGTGGGCGAGATCTACAATGGCAAGGTCACCAGCATCATGCAGTTCGGATGCTTTGTACAGCTGGAAGGTTTGAGGTACATATAGTACAGCACAAAAGAAAAACTACACGGTATAGGAAATGATGGGGGCACTATGAATAAATCCAACAGGTTGAGAAATATATTAACGAATGAACTCCCAAAAATAGCATTGTGTTACTAAATCAGCTCTCAGACGTGCTTTTTTTTTCATTGATTGCCTGCATTTGAGCAAAGTTTCCAAATCTTAAGTGCTTTAGTCCTGATTTTTGTCCAAGTAACTTGTACCAGTCACTTGGTATCTGATGGTGTGTTTTCCCTACCTTATGTAGTGTACAATAGATACATCAAATATTCTGCTGGAGGTTTGGAGATATTGGATGTGCTGAAAACAAAAAAGCTTAATCGGTTCAAAATTAAGGTGCCTTTATCTGAAAATCCACTTGGGTTGTAAAGAATTTTTTAAAACCTGTGCAAAAACAGTTCAGATTAAATGGCTAAAATGTAAAATACTAGGAATGATGCAGATCTGAAACAACAAAAAGCTGAAGAAACTCCGCAGGTTGGGAAGCATCTGTGAAGCGAGAAACAGTATTAGTGCTTGAGTCCAATATGATTTCTTCTAAAGAGGTGTAAGAGAAACATTGGACTTGAAATCTAAACTCTGTTTTTCTCTCTCCACAGATCCTGGCAGACTAGTTGGGTTTTGCAAACACTTCCAGTTCAGATTACATAGATATGATAGAAAATGAATAAGATCATAGAAATTATCTCTGTAAAGCTAACTTTATTTCAAAAGTGTCTGATTACTCTCGTTCTAAATCAACAGTTTTAGAATGGATGTCATTAGCTTGTGACTGGGCAGTTTTCTCAGATGTTTGAGTGGTGGTGCTATTTTAGTGTTGGGAGGGAATGGTCTGTAGCAGATGTTTGCCACAGGAAGCCAGAAGTACAGCCCAGATTTGTGAAAGTGCTATACATCTTCCTTGTCCATTTTTAAAATAGAGCTTGTAATCATTCCCTGGGAACAGTGCCCATGATTCCTACATGTTTTGAAACTAGATTTTAGAATTTTACAGAACCTTTCAATAGAGCCAACTTAATAATGTCTTAAGTATGAGTTATGTCTTATGAAAATATTTAACTGCAAAGCAAAAACCTATTTATTGATTTTTTTTATCTCTGTTGTGTTTTTCTTGGATATTTCAGATATCAACCATTTCCCAGGTGTGTCTCCGAAAGCGTTTAAAAGTAACTGACTTAAAAAAGATTTAACATAGATTTTCCATTTCTATTTAAAAATGCTTCATTCGCCGTATAAATGGAATTGTATGTATATGTTTTCACTGTCCATTTGCCAATGCTTTTTCTTTTCATGCCTCTTTTTTTAGAAAACGATGGGAGGGCTTGGTGCACATCTCTGAGCTCAGGCGAGAGGGACGTGTAGCCAATGTTGCTGATGTTGTCAGCAAAGGTCAAAGAGTTAAGATCAAGGTGTTGTCATTTACTGGATCCAAAACAAGCTTGAGTATGAAGGTAATTATACGTAGTATAAATTTGTATTAAATTTTGGATTACAGTTGATACTAGAATGAGCACGTTTTCTTACGATTTGTTTTGGTTTATTATTGTCACGTACTGAGATACAGTGAAAAGTATTGTTTTGCATGCTAACCAGATGAATCAAACCTTACGTAAGTACATAAAGGTAATAGAACAGAATGTAGCATATAGTGCTACAGAGAAGGTGCAGAAAAAGATCAACTCTAATATATGAGAGGTCTGTTCAAAAACCGGATAACTGTGGGAAGACGCTGTTCTTAAATCTGTTGGTACTTTTTTCAAACTTCTATATCTACTGCCTGGTGGAAGAGGTTGGAAGAGAATATAACCGGGGTGGGACGGGACTTTATGTTGGCTGCTTTCCTGAGGCATTGGGAAGTGTAGACAGTCAGTGGAAGGAGGGCTGGTTTTCTTGAAGGACTGGGCTGCGTTGACAGCTTTTTGTAATTTCATGTGGTCTTGGACAGAGCAGTTGTCATACCAAGCTGTGATGCATCTGGATAGGATCCTTTCTATGGTGCATCTATAGAAATTGGTAAGAGTCATTGCCGATATGCTGAATTTCCAGTTGCAGAAGGGGAAGCAGAGTCCTGAGTCTTGGAGTTTGGAGATAAGCTTGATTAGAGTTATGGAGTTGAAGGCGGGACTAAAGTCAATAAATAGCCCTCTGACGTAGGTGTCCATTTTATTCGGATGTTTCAGGGATGAGGGTAGGGCCAGGGAGTTGGTGTCTGCCGTGGAAGTATTGTGACAGTAGGTGAATCGTAGTGGATCAAAGCAATCTGGGAGGCTGGAGTTGACGTGTGCCATTATTAACCTCTCGAAGTACTTCATAATGATGGATGTTAACACCAGCAGGCAGTAGTCATTAAGGTACGTTGCCTGATTTTAATTTGGCTCTGGGATGATAATGGTCATCTTGAAGCATGTGGGAACCTCACATGAAGCTAGGTTGGATAAACTTGGCTTGATTCCACTGGAACTTAGAAGAGTGAGGAGTGACTTGATGGAAGTGTAAAAGATATTGAATGGTCTTGACAAGATGGGTGTAGAAAGGATGTTTACTCTTCAGGGTAAGTCCAGAACTTGAGGGCAATGATTTAAAAATAGGGATCGCCCTTTCAGGACCAAGTTTTTTTTCTCTAAGGGCTTTGAGACTTTGGAACTCTGTTCCTCAGAACATGGTGGAGGCAGTGTCATTTTTCAAGATAATGTGAGTAGATTCTTGTTAGAGAGGGGATCAGAAGTTATGGGGTAAATGGGAATGTGGCTCGAGATGCTGATTGGACTACTTCTGCTCCTAGTTTGTATCTTCCTACACAGTTGTTGAATGTGAAATTTAAACCTCATGATCTGAACTGGTGAAGACTTGGTAAAGATCTCAGAGTGGGTAAAGGTCTCAGACTGAAAGAAATAGTATAGCCTTGTGTTTTAAGCTTGGAGTCAGTTTGATTAGTTTCCATGTGGTAAGGTCCGAATTAAAATGGTTCCTCCTCTGATTCTTTCTCATTAGGACGTAGATCAAGACACTGGAGAGGATCTAAACCCAAACCGACGCCGCAATGTTGGTGGAGAAACTAATGAGGAAACTACCATGAGGAATCCTGACAGACCTAGTAATCTGTCATTGGTGAACACCCCTGAGGTTGAAGATGATGTGCTAGAACGCAAACGTCTTACAAAAATCTCCGATCCTGAGAAGTGGGAGATCAAGCAGGTGGGGGGGCAGTTAATACAGACTAACCTACCCAAGTAAAAACTGAAAATGCTGAACAACACAAAACGCATCAGTTGCCATCTGAGAAAAGACAGGTCGATGTTCCATATTGACCTATTTCAGAAGCGCTGGTCACCTGTTATCACTCAGTTGCTGACTGATCTGTGCATTAGAGATAACAAGGTGTAGAGCTGGATGAAC